TAAAATATTGTATATATAAATTATACCCTATATTATTAATAATTTTTAATTTTATTTAAAAATTTGTAAATACTTTTAAATTTTCCAGGCAAATTTGCCTAGAATACGGTTTAAGGGATAATAATTTTAATATAATTGGATTTTTTTATTAATTCGTTAGTTTAAGGTTAGGGTGAGGGTTAGGTTAGAGTTAGGGGGTTAGGGTAGAGCACTTTAGCAAAAAGGTTCTTACCCAAAATTTTGCAAAGAATTTTTTTTGTTAGAATATGAAAGGTAGTTTCATAAGCGAGATTTTGAGCTACAAGTGTTTTTTTAGAAACATCGCTATTTTTTTGATTTTGCATTACACCTGATCCTACGATCTGATTGGTTGATCAGATGGATACGTTACAGCGCATGTGCGCTAAATTATATAAACCTAATTTTTATAGAAAAACATTAATTAACCCGTGATCCTCAATAAAAGCATGATGGAAAGTCGTTTTGATTGGCCAGTGTGATACAATTGAATGTAGATCATTACACAAATTATTTATATTAGTTTTAGAGTATATTCAATATGAAAGTGTAATCGCTCATGACAAGTGGCTAAGCATGCCATCTACGATTAAATAATTTTCAGAATACATTTGTCTTTCGCTTTACTTATAGTTGGCGGATTTAATCCCATATAATCTCATTCTCCAGAAACTTTTGCTAGTGCCGCATATTTACTAATGACTAAATAGTAAATCGTTAAGTAGGCTTGTAAGACTTTTTTGGTGGACTTTTTTTTTAGTTTTTTTTTCAAAATGTTAATCTTATGGCTAATATAGTCTTGAAACTTTTATTCTAGATCTAGGAATTATAAGACATATCCGAATAACACCTAATTTGTAAAAAATATAGTTTTTACTATAGTATAGTGTAAAGCATATCAAGTATGAAAAAAAGCGTTTAAGTGGTAGTTGAAATTTGCCGAGAATAATTTTTGCAGGTTGCAGGTAATGTTATCTTGAATTCTATTACGTATATTATAGTATAGATATAATGGTTTTTTAATTTTTTTTTTTAATATGTGAATTAGATATATGGTATGCCGAATCAAAATTTTGTGAAGTTTAAATTGACTTATAGAGATAAGTAATGTAATATGTATGAGTAATATTTATACTAGTTTAGCAAAAATATGTAACTAGGATATACATATAGATAGCTTTGTAATATATTGCAATTTAAATTAACTTTTTTAATTTTTTTTTGGAAATTTTTTTAGTTTATACATAGTGTATTATATGCGGGTTTAAATTTGCAAATTTATATATCGTGTAAATCAAAATAAGTGCCATTTAGGTTAGGACAAGGTCGGGATTGGGATGGCAGTAGGGAAAAGTTTATATCAAAATTTTGCAAAAGATTTTTTTGAAAGGTAGTTTCATAAGCAAAATTTTAAGTTATAATCAATTTTTTAAAAAAAGCAACAATTTTATATTACATTTAATCATATAAAATGTAATAATTTATAAAATATGTAAGGGTTAAATTGTAGCTATCACTTACATAATTGCAGCACTTATTTGCAAGAATTATTACTCTAACTTACCCTAATCTAAGAACCTGAGGGAACTTTCTAGCTCTGAGATAAATTGATACTTATGCAATTGAGATTAATCCATCTGATTGCTAATTACAGTAGCAATAAATATAATAAATAGTGTCCAATAATTCTGGTGATATTAGTAACATTAGATATTGTTCAATTAAAATTTGATTCAGCATACAACATATCTAATTTATACAATATTAAAAAAAAAATTATTAAAAAAATTTAATTGCAATATATTACAAAACTATTTAGCGACACTCATATTCTAGTTACTTATCTCTATAAATCAATTTAAACTTCATATAATTTTAATTCAGAATACTATATATCTAATTCACATATTAAAAAAAAAAATTAAAAAAACCATTGTATCTATACTATACATATAACAAAATTCAAAATAGCATTACCTGCAACCTGCAAAAATTATTCTCAGCAAATTTTAACTACCACTTAAATGCTTTTTTTTCATATTTGATATGCTTTACACTATATGCATAGTAAAAAACTATATTTTTTACAAATTAGGTGTTATTTGGATATGTCTTATAATTTCCTAGATCTAGAATAAAAGTTTCAAGACTATATTAGCTGTAAGATTAACATTTTGAAAAAAAAACTAAAAAAAAAGTCCTTCAAAAAAAGTTTTACAAGCCTACTTAACGATTTACTATTTAGTCATTAGTAAATATGTGGCACTAGCAAAAGTTTCTGGGGAATGAGATTATATGAAATTAAATTCGCCAACTATTAGTAAAGTAAAAGACAAACATATTCTGAAAATTATTTAATTGTAGATGGCATGCTTAGCCACTTGTCATATGAGCGATTACACTTTCATATAGAGTATACTCTAAAACTAATATAAATAATTTGTGTAATGATCTACATTCAATTGTATTACACTAGCCAATCAAAACGACTTTCTATCATGCTCTTAATAAAGCAAGTGAACTTCATATTATATTAGTAAAACTTATATATATACTATGCTTTAAATTCGAATAAAGATTCTAATTTTGATTATCACTTTTTTGCCAGAGATACTAATACTCTTAAGGCATATTATTAACTAAGCAATATTACTTATATTTCTTTAATCTTATAGAAAGTGAAATTTTAAATTTATTTGAATTTTGAAACTGAAATCAAATCAATTTAATTTAAACAGCAAGCTATTTACTGTTATTAAGACCCAGGTATTATTCACGATATCTAAATTTACTGTATTATCCTGTTTCTTGAATAAGACCCAGGATATAATTTTACTACTTTTAATATAATATTTCTCCAAATATAGTACCTGTAGTTCTACGGGTACTGTAACGATTAATTTTTTCTGTGTTTCATTACTTCCATCTTTGTCTAATTCTTTAGTTGTTACTCACCTTCCATAATTGTACCATCTTAGTCATGTTAATCTTACCTTAGTAGTATTAGGCATTATTATGTATTCTTGTTGGCTTAATTTATACAAGAGCGTTTACACTCAAAATAGAGCATTTATGTTCAAAGTAGAATATATACGTGATTGCATTAATTTGTAATCATTGTGCCTTGAGTAAATGTGGAATCTACAGAATAAGTGTTGAGATCCCCATGATGACAATCTGTAAAATTAGAATATATATAAGAGTGCGCCTTCATACTTAGTTGAAGATAACATTCACTCTTCCAAAATTCTTTAATAAATAAAGATCACATATATTCACACTCTTTTTTATAATAAATGCCTAATAAATCATGAATATCCGAATACTATAATTTATCACCCAATTCATGTGACCCTTCTAACATCAACCATCAGAATTAAACTTGGCATCATAATACTAAGCTCTTCCTTACAATAGTTACAGTACTATTCAATTTTTAAAATGAAATTCTTGAATAAGACCCTGGGAACTGTATACAGTGGTCAATGGTAGTATATACTTTAACTTTACTAATTATTATAAGAATAATTATCAGGTAATATTGTATTTTGCAAAATAACACGCAAGGGTGTAATTTTAAATTTTGGCCTAAATTAAGCTTAATTCAGGCCAAAATTCGAAATTACGCTTATGGGTAATATTCTGTGAAAATACAATAGCTATAATTTCAAGATAAATTTGTCTTTTAGATTTGTAGTGATTTTATAATCTATTTGTGAGAGCTTGTAAAGCTTCTTGTATACTAATAACTTTTGAAAAAATATTATCCAGCTTGGATTAGATTTAAAGAAAAAAATTAAGAAATTTAGTAAGTTTTTCAATATTCTTGCAACCCAATCACTTTTAAAAATTTAGTAATTTGTTCAATTTTATTTATTTAATTTTTTTAATATAAAATTATTTTTATTAGTTAGATAATAATTAAATTTTAATTTTAAATCTACTTATTAAATGAAATTTAATTCTTTAGCTAATTGAGTCTGTATAGAATTTTGCTACAATACAAGTTAATCTGGAATCTATAAAAATTTATTTTCAACATGCTATATATATATACTTAATAAATTGTAATATTAGAATATTGTAGATATTAAGATTTTTAAAATATTTTTAAACTTTAATAGAATAACAATTTTTTTTAAACTTAAATTTACTTTAACTTTCTTTTAATTGTTTTTATATTCTTGCGATTAGTGCTTGTATATTATACTCAACCGAGAATGAGAGCACACAAATATATATATTTGAATTTACAGAGAGTTTACGTTATAATAAGAGCGTCCGAGCTAATAATTTAGCGTCAACACCAAAATCTCAACGCTTGCACTGTAACGGTAAATTTAGCAAATGTGCGGTTGTATGTGCATTAACGAAAGGTTTTGATTCGAGATGATTTTTTTATTATAAGACAAATAAGATCCCATACTATTTCACTTCACCAACAACTTAGTAGACAATTAATTTACAGACAAAGCTTATTTTACTGACAATTAATTCGCAGACAAGTTCATTTCACAGACAGCTTATTTCACTGCTAGCTTGTTTTACTGACAAAATAAGTTTGCCTGTAAATTAATTGTATGTAAAATAAGTTGTCAATGAAGTGATTGTCGATGAAATGAACGGAATTGATTTTATTGTTAATTATTTGTTATAAAAATATGTGACTTTGATTAACTTGATGAATTCTTTTTATTATATACTGTGTTATTATTAATTTCTAAATCAATAAATAACGTAGTACTGGTTTGTTTTGGAATCGGTATAAAAATAGAATACAAATACGTCGCTAATTTAATTCGAAATCAAAATCTGCCTAGTCTCTGAGAGATGTATTCTGCCTTTTTTTATTTGGAACTTATAACAAACATTTTAGGTATTACGTATAATGATAATTTATGACATATATCATCGTTCAGTCTTTGACTATCATTTCAACGAGAAAAAAAAAAAACCTAACAAACCCAGAGAAAAAAACTCTTTAATAAGTCTGAAGAACCAAATAGTGAATAAGATTAGTCTTTCGGCCCTTTAAAATTTTTTACTCTATGCTCCTGTCCCTACTCTTACTCTGAATACACAATCGTTCGATCGATCGATCGATCAAGAGATCAATTATTTTGTTGTGTTATACAATACGCTATACTAAGCTTAGAAGTCTAAAGCCAGGTGGTAATTTTAAATTGATTACTGTACTAACAAATTTGTAAATTAAAAATCGCGTGACGCATATCAATTATTGAATCGCTTTAGATGATCCCTAAACTTAGAATAGACAGGTCTATATACTATATATAATCGGGATCCGTTTAAAATCCCGATGATCTAATTACCGATGGTACGAAACTCAAAATTTCGAAAAAAAAAAAAAATCACGAATAATCATAATCCCGAAGAATCCCGAAAGTAATAATCACGAAAGTAATAATCCCGAATATAATAATCCCGAAAGTAATAATCCCGAAAGTAATTAAGAATCTCGAATTAATAATCTCGATCAAATTAATGATCTCAGTGATCTCAAATAAATTTGATTCGGTTGCGATTAGTTAAATATAAATATAGTTTAAAATATTTCGATTTAGACGTAATCAGCTTCATGTTAATAAGAATGCTTAGATTAAACTAAGTAGCAATTATGCATAGTATTAGATTGTGTAGTGTACTAAATAGTCTAGCAAGTAAATTTTATTTTAAATATCAGATATAGATTGGTAAAGGACTTTATACGCATAAATAAATATATATGTAGCTAATAGAGTAAAATAAAATTTAATAGATGCTAGTGTCAATTATATTCGCTAAACCTGAAGAACAATAAAAATTTTATTGATATGCTAATATCCTTTTATTGCTTTACTATTTAATTTTTTTTTAAAAAAAAATTGACACCTTATACTAATTTTTATTGTACATAAGTAATATGTAGTAATACTGTATCTAAAATTCTAAACAGTAATACTTTTTCCCTTCTACGTATTCAAGTTAATTGATACTAAGATTTGAAGAAGCCAGTATGATATTTTACACAATGCTTTCGCTAATTTATTTATTTCATAAAAAAAAAAAATTATAAAGCAATATTGTGGGCGATTGCCTTAAGAAAATCCATAACTGTATGATTTGGTCAGTTATTTAAAATGGTCATGATTCATCTTTCTCGATCAATTGATTTTTTTTTTTTGTTGTGGTCACTGATCACCCTGAAGAATCTTTTCAATTTCATTATTGATATTATGTTGTTCTTTCTGAAATTCCTTAATTATTGTGTAGACTCCAACATTTGCACAACCAACTAAGGAATCCCAACGTCGGTGCCATGCTTCAACCTTATTTTGGGTTCTTGAGATGCCAGCTTCAACTGAATCAAACACAGACCACAACGTTGGAGAGAATAAAGGTGCACTTCAAGACACATTGCTATTTCGATATATCCGACATACTCTTCCATAAACATAATACTCCTCAAACCATTGAATGATACTTCTTGCTGCAGTGGGTATTTCTACCTTTAACATGTTGAATACAGCAGGAATGTCAGCTGGTGGTAGAAATGCCAAAGCAAATAATTGGTGAATTTTCAAATTTAAATGATTATCAGTACCATATTGAACAGATAAGTCTAACTCTTGTACCTTTCTCCAACTACTTTGTGCAAAGTGAAAAAAGCAGCCTTTATTTGTTATACCTGGAAATGTATCACGAGATGCATTAATGGCTGCAATCTCAAAATCAGTGATAATCGTCGACGGCCTTAATCTAAATTTATTTTCTGCTGCAAAGTCATTTAGATCTTGAAACAACAATATATAAAGCTCTTCTGATTTGTTGCTTATAAGAGCATAAACAAGTAGAAAGATCTGGAAGTTTTCATTTGGACCAACTGAAGCGTGAATAGTGTAAAGTTGGTGAATCACTGTAGGGACAGTTTGAAATGTTCTATCCATCACCCAAAAAGATGCTTGAGACAAACATTATACGTTAGTTTTAGTTATGAATATAAGAACTTGACCCAGTTCAACTTGTGAATCTCTAATATAAAACAATTCTCTCTTTAAAGTAGATTGAAATGGAAGTAGCACATCAACTTCATCAAGAGTTTGAGGTTGCGGGGGCATTTCAGAACCTCTAATGTGCTTTATTCTCATACAAAGTGCATCTTTTGAAGGCATATAAGATACTAAATTTTTATCAACAGCAGCAGTATTATTTTGAATAATCTGAGCAAGTGAGTTCTGAGTTTCTCTTGCTTGTTGTTTAATATGTTCAACTATTATAGCCACTTCACTACTACTTGCTTGAGGGGAGTATTCATGCTTGGCAGTTTTTTTAAGAAAATATGAACTATTAGAAAAAATAGTTACTGCATGGCCTGGGCAGTTTTCAGATTTTTTTTTTTTACAACTCCAATAATAAGTATTTTTCACAACACATTCTTTTACAAACAAGAAACCATAAATGTTTAGTTTTACTTTTCCCTTTTGAGAAGTAACTGTTTTACAAATTTCATTCATCTCATTCATATTGACAAGTTCAAGAGTAAAAAGCTTCTAAAAAAATTTTTCCCTAATATATTTAATGAAATATTACAACTCCACTAACCAAAACAAATCAAGTATGACAAGAAATTTTTATTTAGTTTGAGATAATAGAAAATTAGATAAAACCTCCCAATTACACAATCAAGTAAAAAAAAAAAAAAATTCAGATAAAACAACTTTACTACCAACTTTACAAACACTTACCATTGTTTATGGATTACTAGGTAAACATAATTAATTCTATAATTTAATAATTTTTATTTGTTTAAAATTATCAGAATATTACTTGAATATTTACAAAAAAATTGCTGATATTTATATAGGTGTTAAAATATTTATCAAAATTAGATTATAATGCTATGGTTCACGTAGTAGAAATAACATAATTATGTTATTTCCACTTAATCTAGGGATCATATGTCTGTCGTCATTCGAGTGACGACTGTTTCGCGCTTGCGTCATCAGAGATATATTAGTATTCGCTCCGTCATTCAAGTGACGAACGATTCACGTTTGCGTCGTCAGAGATATATTAGTG